TTTAGCTAAATTAAATAATGTTTAATGTTTGAGGTTTAATGTTTCCAAATAAATGTTTCATTATAATTATATACAAAAATAAAGTTTTCACATGTATGTGTTTATTATACATATGTATACATGCAATTTAGACAAATTTATTCAATGCATATCTAAATTAAATAATGAGTTTCATGTTGTCAAATAAGTGTTTCATTATAATTATTGGAAATTGGTAATTAAATTAATGTTTCACTTTGTAGTACGAAGTTTGTACATGTATGTATTTATTATAGATATATACATACAATTTAGACAAATTCCGTCAATACACATAGTATATAGCCTTTATTATTTGCATAAAATTAAAAGAAACCTTCGACCTACCCCCACCCTCCTTATAATCAAGTCTCATACTTCATTGGAAATTCTGTTATCGAGGAATAATTTCGGATTCACTTTGCTAGGTACGTTTCCTTGTAAACCACATTCCTTGTAAATGTTATTGGTATAAAAAGCATGTTAAATCTCTTAGAAATAAACATCGAACGAATTCAGGTCAGCAGAGCGAGCCACGATAAGGAGGCACCGCCTCCCGCCCCATCGATCCGGGAAGACGTCGTTTAAAGATATTCGAACTGCGAGACGAAAGTAGGATGGAGTATCATCGTGCATGAGCCATAACTGCAGCTCATTATTCAAAGGATTTTCATAACAGTGGGAGAACGTACACTATGTACTTCCCAAAGACGTGACAAACAACCTCGTTCAAACGTGTTGCAAGAATTCGGAATCCTGAAAGCTCCGCACATTTGTCCATGTATGATAAAATAAATAAATAAATAAATAAAACATCGCTCGCTTTTAAAAACGTGAATTTTCATGTCTACTCGGTCGCACGTTCGCCGTTCTTTGCTTTTCATAAGCCTCGCTTCGTTAACAGGATAAAGCAAAACTGGGACGCGGTGATATTTAGCGCGGACGTTCAGAAATCCTTCGGTGTTCATATTGTTCGCGACCGTGTACAACAAGTCGTTATAATACGGCCAGATACCGCGTTCTATTTCAACTAGCTTTTACGATATTAATCTATCGCGAGAGCGGCGCTACATCGCCATAAAATAACCGATCACGACACTGTGCCGCAACATGGGGACCTAGCGGAATATTAAACGAACTTCGACGCGACGCGCATATAAATCCCGAAACAAAACGACGCGGTCCACCAATGCGGATATTTTCGTGCTGTCATCGGCACGGGCACGAATTGACAACAAACGCGGCCGTTCTTAATTTAACGCGGAAATGCGATTTTGGGGAAATTCACTTTCCGTTGATTACGGGGTAATCATCGAAATTTGTTTAGAAAGGGGTAATTTTCTGGAGAAGAAAGAAGGAATAGTGATGGGTATAGAGTGACACTTGGTAGACTGTTTGGAGATCATTGATAAACAAAGGAGACTGTTTAAAAATGGATATTTCTGGACCTGCTTGGAAACAAAAATTTATGCAGGAATTACTCATTGTATAAAACAAAAGGTCCTTATCATTTTGATCAAAAAGCGATGGCAAGAGTTGTGGCAAAAATGAGTGAAAACATGTAAATGTGGTAGCTATCTTAATTGCGTATATTTTATACGTTATCTTCATCTTTTTCAAATATTAAATCATTTTCAAAGTAATTGTTAACGAAATTGGTAGGTAAATCAATTGAAATCGATTATACAGTCACTCCAATAAATATTCATACCCTCTACGTCTATTAAAGAAGTTTGTCTGAATTAATCGACGTTTTTAAATAAATTTTTCGTTATAAATATATGTACATGGATAAACTTTACTCTTGTATATAAATAGTGAAAAATTGGAACCATACAAATTCGATCATTTAATTTGGACAGATTCCTTGAATAAAGACAGAGTACGAATATTTATGGGGCTGACTGTATACAGTGTGTTCTATTTAAATCGAATGAAGTTATCGAAAAGAATGTTTTTACAAAATTTATTTAGTTCAAAGGGGTAAATTATATAGAATACATGTTTTTATTATAAGTGAAATAGTGGGAGAGGTTTAAAAAATGAATTGATGTATTTAAATAGAAGTTTATATATTTTTATCACATATACTTATATATTCTAACACATTTACACGTTTCCATCTATTTCTGACCACTTTCCTATCACTTTTGTAGGGAAATGATAATAAAAGACAATGTTTGACCTTTCTCCGTTTTCATTCACGACAAAGTTTGCCAAAAATATATTTATTTAAGCCAAAACGTCAACCATGAGTCGACCATACTTATGATCACAATATTTTTAAAAATCTATGATCCCTTTTTACGACCAGAGAAGGGAAACATTCTCCACATAACGTATTATAGATTCCAGCTGCAGTGTATCAGATTAGCCCTCATTATCCCTCGTCAAACAACATGAAACATCGTCAAACAGCAACAAAAGTTACTCCACGAGATTAATTAGCTCATTTCAAGTCTCCAAAGGGCAAGTCAAGAGTAACATGAAGCTGTGAGGGATAGTCAAGCGTCTCTTAGACAGGGAGTTTTACTCGGCGTCTCCTAGACAGAATTTAGCGTGTATTGGAATAGTATGGGAGTTCGAGTTTCCGAGACATCGTTGAAAAGGAATCGGCTTCAAGAACTCCGGGAGCAAGTGCTCCGCGTAATACAAAAACTTTTTCTGAAATCCAAGTAGCTTATGTGCCCAACCTCTCAACTTGTCTCTAGTTTTCTTGCGAAACACCCGTACGATAGCTGAAGAAATACTGCCGAGGTATGAGAGGGCACGTGCAGTTACGCATCACGAGGACCCTTTTCCGCTTATTGTTCCTCCTCTATTCCTTAGCCTCGTTTTATAACTCGTTTGGATCACTCGAGGATCAAGTTCGAAAGCATTTTCAGGAATCGTTGTGTAATTCGATTTAAAAAGCTACAGCTTCTATTGAAAGTTACCTCGGTTAGTAGAATTCGGATTTATTGCAATGTAATGTTATAGTAATTCGGAATATATAATGTTTCTTACCCTTTTTCGACTCCGAGACGAAAATGGACGATTCACCGGGCGAAACGAACTTGTATATATCATACTTGATATGATATTTTACGAGTTCTCTTGTGAGTTATGAAGGAACGCGCAGCCACCTAGCGGTTAGAAGCAGAAGTTAGGACGTAGCGCTCAACATATTCTTATGTATTTTTAAGCGGATGTAATATAATTGAAGGAAGTCGTAAACAAAGATGTAGAGTACATAATTGATATGATATTTTAATATCACAATTTTCAATAAATAAGAACGATACGGAATAATGGACCAACTCAATACTATAATATTAATTGGGTGAAGAAACTGTGCAACGTTCGAAATGCCACGAGTCAGTAACCCGTGTCATGAATTCACTTGTATATCTACTTTTCTACCAGAACAAAGGCAGCTCTTATGTAGAACAGCTCTCATATTCCATCTGAAGCTAGAAATCCATACCGCATTTTTCTTTGAGCGTGACTTCCGTAAGATACTATCTGCAGATATCGGGGGACATAATTCCTCTTGGATTTGGAAAGGACGTGTAATACAAACGAGAACGTTTTACGCATACGTAATATTTTTGCGACGTCACAACACATCAATTTCGTATTACCCTATCTGTTTTTAGCAGGTGGATGCATACTGATGTACAGGTTAGTCCATCCAAACCAGATTAGTAACGTGTTTTAGTCTAGCTAGTTACCCAGGCGATCATGAAGTTATAATTACTTTTGCTTTCAATAATTTACTTTAATATCTGGTAGTCCACGGTGTTAATATCGAGTATCGAGATGAATGGCTGTCATTTGCAATGGCTTTTAAACAAATTCAATCCGAAGTCGTTTATAAGTTCTCGACAATTTGAATTAACAAGGGGTCAGTAATGGTGTCGTGTAATTGGTACGAGAACTTTAGTTCGCAAAATGGAGAACTGTACACCACCAAACCAACCCTTCTCCTGAATACTAATTATTTCTAACTACTTTTAAAGATGATTTTTATTTTATGTCAGTTCATTTTGTGTTAGATTTAACATAAAGCACAACCTTGATAAACACACTTTCCTATGCCAGCTTCCCTTCAATTATCGAGGTTATTGGACTAAACACCCTCAAACTGACCCTTCATCTGAATACTACTTATTTCTTTCCATCTCAAAAAATAATTTTTATTTTATGTCAGTTCATTTTATATCAGACTTGAAATAAAGCAAAACCTCGATAAACACGCTTTCCCCAGACTTGTTTTCCTGCAATTGCGGAGGCTCTATCTCATACTCTCCTTTTTACATGCAAAATCGACACTTCTCGCTCACCTGCCTTCGCTAATTTACCCCAAACTTGGCACGAGAGCAATGGTCAGTAGCTAAAACTGCGTCAGCGTTTTTTCTCCATTGCTAATCGCGACGTATGTATTTCCACTGGAAGGAACTAGGTCATAACGTTCCCGAGAATTCCAGTAGGCGCTCCATACACCCCCGCACTATATATACTACACTTTGGTGTACTATATCTAGGGAACCAATTAAAGCGTTAATTTGGAGAAAAATGTGTTCTCGAGTGTGTACTCAATATTTACTCAGAAGAACGTGCAGTTTACGTTGGTTCGAGTTTGTTTATGAACAAAACGATTGGCAAATATTGAATAAATTTCAGAAACCTTACTTTATTAGGTGGTAGTTATTAACTCAAAATAACTCTCAAAGTTATTTTAAAGTCACTAATGTATAAGGAAAAATTAATATTCAAATGGGAAAAAATCCTCAGCAAATATAAAATTTCTACAACAAAACTTTTTACAAAATTAATAATTAACATAACATAAACATTCGCTCGACATTCGAACCAATAATTTAAAAATTCACACAATAATAATACAATATTTTATGACCTATCGCCATGTCCTTTTCGTATTTCGTCATATTTCGTCCAGTATCGTCATTCCTTGTCGTATCTCGTCATATTTCGTCATATTTCGCCACCTATCGTCATTCCCTGTCTTATCTCGTCATATTTTGTCACATATCATCATCCACTCAACACTGTCGCGCAGCACGCACCTCGATCCAAAAATTTGAAACAAAAATTTTTACAAAATTTATAATTATTGAGTTAAGTCTCCATCATTGTATTAGGTATGAGTAAATAATCCACTTTCTCATTATAAACCGATTCACTGCGGAAGTCATTCTTATGATAATAGAATAATAAATAAAGAATAATTTTTTGTTCGCTTTGGCAATTATTGGATCGTTTTTATTTTTCACGAAACGTTATTGCGGAAAGGTCCATAAAGCAAGTGCAACGAAAGTGGTTCGAAAACATCGTCGAAGTATCTCCTTGCACTCTTGCTAAGTGAGAACGAAACGCGAAACCTCTTGCTGAAATCCAAGTGGGTCTGTCCTCGACATTACGGCTTGTTCGCTCTGGAAGTCAACACATGCTGAAAGTAGTGCACTCCACGCTTTCTTCGGCATCCTCTCCCCGCGCCTGTACACTCGCGTAACAGCTTTAACGCTAACATAATCTATCGGGAAATAGGCCAAATCTCCTATCGTATTTCTTTCCCTCCGTGGTAGCTGCATACGGTAAGGAGACAGATGAACCCATTCGTAATCCAAACCTAACCTAAACATAAATTGCACCGGGTTTGATCATTCTAAATGCCGTACTGCAATACTTTTACACGCATATACAGAGAGTGAACGAGTTTTATTTATAAGGGTGTTTAGTCATATACAGTAAAACTCCATTTATATGAATCTGTTATATAGATAAATAGTTCATATAAACGAGTAAGTTCGTATAATACGAGTGCATTTATCATTTTTGCTATTTGTAACTTTTTGCTGAGATAAATGCATTTAATCATATTTTTACCCCCTTGTCCGGATTATAGCAATATTTTTATTTTTCTGAACTGTGAAATTACTTGCAGGGCCAATTTGATAAAGCTTGATGAATAAATTGTGTGATATGGAGATAAAGATGACAAATGGAAATACTTGTTATTATCTAATAAAATGAATATTGAAATACGAATATGTAACATGATATATATATCGAACATCGTAGTCATTATGAATAAAGTAATATGAAATATGAGATAATATGAATATAATAATATTGAAATATGGAATATAATGTGTGTTTGGTTGAAAGTGAATTAATTTGTTTTTTTCCATTTAGTGGTTTTACTAATTATAAATTCTTTGAGCATTGTACAGGGTGTAAAAAAATGTTTGGTCTTGGCAAGCATAGGCGTATTCTACATCTTCGGATCGATCAAGATTTGTAAACAAAAGTTGCCGCAAAATTGTCCTTGACCTTTAATTTCAAGGTCAAATATCTTTTCATTGCATTGTATTCTACGCATCATGAGGATAAAAAGGGTCAAAGGAACTACGGTTCCAAACTTAACCGTTAGCATAAAAAATAATAGTAGAGTTATTACTAATGAAGCAAGCAGTAACTATTGTTTGTTTATCTGCTGTTTATCGAAAATCTAACATAACTGATTGATCATAATCAATATTACCTTCTATTCTTGAAAAATGTTCGTCTTCTACTTCTTCTTCTCAGCCAAAGAACCGATCCATTCTGATGAATATTCCTTAATAGATAATATTCTTAATAAAAAGATAATAAGGACCAATAATTCTGTTTCCTAAAATACCTGCCCACACATTGACTGAAAAGCGTCCTTGATTGAAATGTTGTATCATGGCATGAGGGTTTCGATAATTCCATATTCTAACATTTTGTCTGTTTTGTAAACCGTGGTTAGAAAAACTACTCTCATCCGTGAAAATAATATTTTTTTGGAAATTTGGATTTCGGTGCAACTTTCGAAGCATCAATTGACAAAAACGTTTTCGAACATCGTAGTCATTATTTTGGAGTGCTTGAACACTTTGAATTCTAAATGGTCGAAGACCTTCTTCACGAATTATACGACGCACTGTCATATGTGAGATTCCGACACGACGAGCAATATGACGCAGACTCATTACTGGGTATGATCTTGCAAGTGCAATTACTTGTTCTTCCACACTAATTATTAATAAAATTCAAAACTGATTCCCCATCTCCAAAACGTTGATCTAATCGTTGGAATTCCCGTCGATCAGGAACTTCTCTTGCACGCCTTCCAATACTCAAAAGCCACACTTTATATATTTCACGCGCTCTAGCATAGTTTCCAAATGCTTCATCTATTGCACGAAACATTTGTCGAATATTTACATATTTTTGCATCATGAGACTATATCGCACATGAATAACCACTGTAATCAGAAGCTAGACTAAACGTGATATAAATGTGATATAAATCTAAGCAAAGCAATCAAAATCACGATAGTGGGGGTCACTCTAACTGTGTTTATGTGGCCTTTAACGCTGTAGCGGTGTGTTTACATTCCTGTCAAGACTGTGTTTATGTCGACAACTAGCATTTCAATTTGAAATCGTCAACTTTTATGAATAAAATTCATTTTACAGCCGACAAAACTTCCGCATCAATTTTTGGCGAAACAGTCAAATTTGAACCCATAGTTCCTTTGACACTTTTTATCCTCATGATGCGTAGAATACAATGTAATGAAAAAAAAATTTGACCTTGAAATTAAAGGTCAAGGACAATTTTGCGGCAACTTTTGTTTACAAATCTTGATCGATCCGAAGATATAGAATACGCCTATGCTTGCCAAGACCAAACATTTTTTTATTGTTTTGTTCTGAGTAGGAATTTAAAAAGTATACGGTGTCAAAGATCGGTACTGATTAAATTTATTGCAAAAAAAATTTTATATATATCTGGAGAAATTTTTACTTACTAAAACACTATATGTTCCAAGCCCCTTAAATACTTCTCATCATATAATACTCCTACAGTGGTCATCGGATGTAGAATAAAGATACGTCTTATACATATGTAATTAAACTTTTTATTAAAGACACTCGCTTAGCTCGCGTGATTCTTCTCGTCGAACTCTCTGGCACGATTGACTTGCGAACTAACCTATTCGTTCAAGTATCACAGATATTCTTTCTTCGTTCTCGCGTATCGCTTGCACTCTGTTTAAACAAACGCATTCACCCTAAGGAACATTCGACCCAATCTCATAAACATTCGCTCGACATTCGAACCAATAATCTAACATTCACACACAATAATAAAACAATATTTTATCACCTATCCCACTGTCCTTCTCGTATTTCGTCATATACTTGTCGTATCTCGTTACATTTCTTCACCTATTGCCATATCCTTGTCATATTTCGTCACATATCATCATTAACTTAACACTGTCGCCCACCACGCACCTCGATGCATTCATCCAGCCACTTAAGAAACTAAACATATGACATGGCGCCGGTTCGTCGCCGCCATTCTCCCATTACAGATGCCAGTTTCCTGTTAGGCCCCACTGACCTCCAGCCTTAACTCGGGCACCTCGGGATCGCCAAACCCGTACCGTAGCTACGATCAAACACAGCTACAGCCCCCGAGGGCAACTGCTTGTACAGTACGTAACTTCCTTCGTCTTCGACCACTGTAAACAGCCGATCCTTTGTGCCCTAAAATTCACAATTACCCCTCATTGACCCCAGCCTAATGCCTCCTGTGCCGTTTCGCCTACATTCCCGAGATCTAGAATACACCAAATGGCGATTAAGGGGGAAGAATGGTTACAGTATCTGCGATAAGTGGAATTGGGTTACGTTATTGATATATAGATACGTCTGCCACATGTTACCCTTAAAGGAAGAGTAAATTGAACTTTTAGTTTCGAAGAATGGTTGTAGCTGCAACTACAGACTCCCCCCTCCACCTACTCCGACCTCCTTTCCTGCTCGTGTTATTCTTTCGCTGGGCTCCGCGTTCCGGTACGGTAACGTTTCACGTCCACATGTTCAGAACCGTCGGCTGCGTAAGTTTCCATTAACCTTAAATTAAAACTTAACGTGTTGACTTGCTAAACACGGGCCAGCCACCGAAGTTTCCCCGGCTCTTTCGGTGCATGAAAAAGTTGCGACTTCCGAAAGAGCAACTGTGTATACACGGTGTTCAATCTTTTCCGGAGGCGGAGATTGCAACATGGCCACCCCGCGATTAAGGAGCGCGATTATTCAAACGAACTTGACTTCCCTCGAGAGTAAATACGACGGAGCGTGCCGCATAAATCTCGAAGAATAATGTGTTTCCTGCGGGGAGGGGCGAGAGAGTGCACTGGGAATAGTACGTTCATTTATTGTAGCGCGGAAATAAAATATAAAAGCGGATATTAGCGGCGTCTTGTGGGCAACTTTAAGTGCTCGATAAACTGGCCTCCTCGGGGGGTTGGGAAACAAGATGGCTGGTCCACTACGTGTATTATGAAGGATGAATATTATGAAAAGACTGTTTTTAATTACTGTTGCTCAACTTCAACTTTTCTGGGTTCATCGTAAGTAAAATAATTATTGAATGTGCACCAATTTATAAATTGGTGCAAGACGAAATTTTCAATACATGTTTGTAATTTGTTTTATATTTCATGTACACTATTTTTTCCAAAACTTGAATTTATTCACAATATGAATGACACAAATTCTCACTAAGGATTTAAAAAATTGATTCTAAAGATCAAGTGTTAAACAAAACAAGCCTGAATAATAAGATTCGTAACTTTTTATCGTCTTGTAAAACTTAATACTAACGCAAATGTTGAGTCGTATATCTTCCAATTATACAAAAACATGATTCTTCACAAGAATATTCACGAGTGCGTCTGGAACTGAGAGTGTTAATGAATCTTAATTTATATCAAACTGATAAATAATCCACTTCATTGTTTTATGATTTTAGCATTGAATTTTCGACGAAAATTCATTCCAGGGAAAGCATTTCGGTCGCCGCAATTCGCGGTATTTTCAAACGCTTTCAGCTCGCACGTTTGTATCTTGCAATCGAGGAAATTAAGCCAGTGAATTATGTGGATGTAACACGATAAAGCTCCGTGGAATTTTCGACTGTAATGAGTTGTAAAAAAATCCCGCGAAGGTAGTACAGAGCTTCCAGCGATGTAGTGAAAACATCATTAGCCTGGAATAATAGAGAGTCACGGCGAGTCGTCGAGCACAGAGTGCAACGGGAAAATGTATTGCTTTTTGCCCTGATAGCGATGAATATTTCTCTCTCTATGCTAGAACCTTAGCTGGAGACTATTCTTTATACGTGTTGAATGGTTGAGCAGAAAGACATAAGTCATAATAAAAACTTTACTTATTATAAGTGGCCTCTAAGGAGACCGAGGTTAAGACTAGACTAACCGGCCTTTTCCCGGTTCCCATTAAATACCGATTCATACATGCTCTCATACGCTCACATATACATACAATCTGGTGATCGGTGGCACGTGCACACTAGCGGCACCGATTGTCGGCAGCGGTGTCGATTGTGTAAAAAGCGATACGTATAATTGCCTACATATGTAATATTTATCAGAGAAACGTCTAATATTGTACTTCACCTAATTGCTTCACGAATTCGATTTAGTCGCACTTTCCAGATTGACGCAGAGTTGTACAAAACTGGGCATAGAAGAATCTAACCTAAATTGAACCCATTCACTGCTAGCCAAAACAGCGTTTTGCTTTGGGTGCAAAAATTTAAAACAGATGTGTAATCTAGGTTATTATTCTGACAATAAATAGTCATATTAAATTCGTTATTTTAAGAAGAAAATTTACGATCTCCTTTTGCAATAATTCGTGACTTAAAGGACACGTTTCATTCGTGACTTAAATAAACTTATCCCTTGAGTATGTAATTGCAGTCAATTTGAACTACGAGACATCTTGTAGTTGCCAGCGAATGGATTAAACAGAAATTTTGATAAAAGTACTTTATCTATTATTCGAAGGGTTCGAATAAGACTCGAATAAAAATACGAAGACCTCATTCATTGTTGAAGATAAACCTTTCATTGATTAAATTTACTTAACAAAAATTTAATAAATAAAAATTAATAGAAATAAATAAAATTCATAAAATTCATTATATTCATAAAATTCATAAAAATTTAATAAAAAATCTAATAATCATATTTATTCGTAAATTAAATTTACTTCGAATAAATTCACCTTATTCGCCAAATATTTTTCTTTTCGTTCGATTCGTGATATCACTATTTTGATAACAATTTCGCCCATCTCTGAGATGATACTATATACAGGGTGTCGTGTTATGGAATGTATATGGTTTGGTTCAGAGCATGAAAGCCAACGAAAGGAGTTCACATAATCGTACCGATCCATTTTTACCCCGTTTTCGAGCCGCGACATTTTTCGTGTTGGAATAATACGATCTACGAGTAGAGATGACACAGATACCGTCTTATTCTTCTGCTCGCAAGATTTTATGCTCCATGGGAAACGTAGAGTACCATTTTCCTCACTTTTACGATTCCTGAACCTGACTTACTGAATTACATTTCACGTCAGGGCCATGTTACGTTATCGTTAGCGCGGGGGGGGGGGGGTATTTATAATCACATCATGGCACCGTTGAAATAATGCACGAAGCAAATTTATTATAGAACACTAAAACAATCGTTAAAATTTTTAAACGACTACGATTTTTATTTGTAAATCATATCAAAACGATTATTAAATTTAGAAAGATTGTAAGATGAAACTATTGAGCTAAATTTGTTTATATGATTTTTTTGTTTCATCATCATTTTAGAACTAATTACTAAGAGGCGTAGGAGATGTGAATTTAAAAAAAATATGAGCTTATAGCGAATGACAAAACGAAACTTTTTTATATTGACAGTTTATTCATACGACGTTTAGTTTCAAAAATAAAAATTGAAAACTTAAAAGAGTACTTACGAACTTTCTCCTAAAATTCAATTTTGGCAACGAACTTCTAACTTTTCAATTTTTCTTTTCGAAACTAAGCGTCCTATGAAAAAACTGTAAATACAAAAAAGTTTCGTCTTATTGTCCCCTACAAGCACATATTTTTAAAAAATTGATTTAAAGGATACGAAACATT